GGGTACAAGTCCCACATCAGGCTCTGTGCTGAGAGCTCAGATTCTGTGTCTCCCTCTTTCTCTGCCCTCCCTTGCTCATGCTCTGTCTTTCTTTCTCAAAAATAAACATTTAAAAAAAATTTTAATTTAAAAATGCATGAAAGGATATGAAATTTTATACTGCATTGAATATTTTAGCAGAAAGTAAGAAGGCATAGATGAATCAGGTGTGGCAAAATCTTGACAAATATTGCCTATATTGGGTTCAATATACTATTTCTCTACCTTTGTGTGTGTTTGAAAATTATCATCATCTTCATCACCACCATCAGGCACAAGATTTATAAATAGAGGCAGACTAATAAAAGCATTTGGCTGTGATAAGGAAAAATCTCACGCTATAATCCTTCCATATCCCATAAATGGATTATTTTTCTCTCTACAAGTAGCTAGGCAAGTTCCAATATTTTATCAGCAAGATAACCCCTTTAAATGCATTATACTCTATATCCTTGAGGACTTGTACTCAGGGAGTTTATGCCAAGACAATACTAGTTGACAATTAGTTGATGTAAACAGACTATCAAAAACAGCCTGCCCGAAGCAAAAATGAGTATAGAAAATGATACTCAAATTTCTGTCACAGAATATTATCCCACATTTTCTATAAATTCAAGGTTATTGAATTTATAATATCTTTATTGTAAGTTACAATAAAGATAAATATAGCAAATAAAAATCTTTATTGAATTTACAATATCTTTATCTTGTGAATTTATTAAATTCACAATATTGATGTGACTTATATTGTACCAGCATCACCATGGTTGATCAAGTCTCACAGAAAGAATTCCAAGAGTAAAATCAGTGGAAATGTTAAGCAGCCTGAATTCTCTCTGAATAGGTATAACATGAGAAGTTTCTCCACAGCATTTTGTCCTTTGTGTGTGTTTGGGTGGAGGAAGAGATGGGCTCTGGGGGTAAGACGCACAGGGCAGGAGAGAAATTCAGCACGGGGCTTCACTAACAACAGGCCATGTGACCACAGATCCCTGTGTGTGATGCCTCCTGAAGTGGGGCAAAGGGGAGGACTGAGGAGGTGGCATGCATCTGGCATGCAGATAACGCTAAGTCAGGCCAGCGCCACATTCTAGAAAACAGTGCCACAATGACTGAACCATAGCCTCTATTTATTGGTTTTGTTTGAGACACTCCAGGCCAAGGGCAAATTCGGGCCTTTCATCCTGCCTGTTGACCTATGGTGGGTAATTGTTCAAAATGTCCTAGTAATATAATGCAATGTACAGTGGAATTCATCTTGAGTCATGAAAATGGCATAATGAATCATAATGATTACAAGTGCAATCCTAATTACTATTTGAAATCTATTGCACAAGAAGTCCTCCAAATCAGTTAGGCACCCAAGGGTGAGGTTGGGGGCTTTTTTTTTTTTTTTAAATAAATATAGCATAAAACTACAGTTTCATTGTTTTATTTGGGGTGGTTTTTTTGTTTGTTTGTTTGTTTTGAGAGAGAGGGGGGATGTGCAAGTGAGAGGGGGACAGAGAGAAAGAGAATCTCACCTGGGGCAGAGAGAGAAAGAGAGAGAGAGAGAGAAAAGCAGGGCTCATGATCAACCCAAGCCAGGCTCAAGCTCACCCACTGTGGGACTCAAACTCACAAACCGTGAGATCATGACCTGAGCTGAAGTCAGATGCTTAATGACTGAGCCACCCAGGCACCCAAGGTTGGTGGCTCTTATTAATAGTTGATGGTCCTTTGCACTATTTACAACAAAGTAAAATAAAAGTTGATACTATCTCCATCAGACCACATACCTGGGTCCGAGAAGATGCATTTGTCCTAAGGCTGGAGTGATAAAGCACAGCTGATGCAGAGAAGCAAAGGACCCAATAGCCTTCTTGTCTCTTGTTTTAGCCTCCCCAGCATATGAGCCCTCAGGAAACAAAAACTAGGGTAGAGGGGACTTCTACATTCTCCACTGAGTCAGGATGCTCAGAATAACACAGTTACTTGAAGAGGGGGGGAAATATTTACCTTCATGGTTGTATTAACAATGAGGAAAAGTCCTTAAAACTGGAAGAAGAAGGTGCAATAACAGAGCTTCCTAAAGAGCTCTTGCTCATGATCATATCTGAAGCTCCATCAATAAATGAGACAGATTTTTACCAGAAGATACAGCAGAATATGGCTAAAGACAGAAGAGGATTATTTAACCACAAAGGTAATATTTCTCTAGGTCAGATTTTAGCTGTCTTACTAATAAAGGCACAGGAGAAATACACTGAAAAAGGGGTCTCACTGGAAAGAGAGACTTAAAAAGTATTTCCAAAAATGTGCTTCGGGGCACCTGGACAGCTCAGTCGGTTAAGCCTTGACTTTGGCTCAGGTCAGGAGCTCATGGTTCATGAGTTCGAGCGTTGCATCGGGCTCTGTGCAGACAGTGCAGAGCCTGCTTCAGATCCCCGGTTTCCCTCTCTCTCTGCCCCCTTCTCCCCGGCCCTCTCCCAAAAATAACTTTTTTTTTTTTTTTTTTTTTTAATGTGCTTCATTAAGTAAAAGAGCAGCAGAGTGAATTTTGGGTGCAGAAAATAAACATAACTATTTTCCCTGTTTAGCAATTCTCTCCCTCTCAGTTTCGTAAACCTGTCATCAGCACTATATCATTCAGACATCACATCCGCACTCTTGGGGCCCTTGGTCTGCCTGTGACCCTTGCCTCAACTTTGACCGACTCAACGCTGACTCGGGCTACTGTTGGCTGCAGTACAGAGACATGATGCTCCGAAGGCAGAAGATTGCACCAGCCAGGCACACAAGTGCTCAGTGTGTTTCATCACCCTTGGCCAGTCTATCTAGGATTAAGATATTACCTCTTGCTGACTCCAAACAGCAGGATGTATCAATAGGGCACACACCCTCTAACAGGGCTACCCAAGCAGGATGCAAATCAGAATGGGAATGGAGGTGCATACCATGCACACTTGTGGGATTAACAGAGACGAAAGCAGGATATATCAGAGCCTAAATTAGATCCCACGTTGTCCTTTGCTTATGCACCTACTTTAGCATTTATCACAGTGACCGGTCAGATACCTGTCTCCCCAGAGGAACCTTATCTTCATCATCTTTGGATTCCCCACCAACCTTACAGATATCAAATGCTCGTAACTGCAATAGTCACTCCCAATTTCATGGCTAAAAGGAAAGATGGCTACTCTGAATGAAAGAAGAAAATTTGGTAGTCTTCAGCCATACTCTAAACCATTATGATTTGTTTTCTCCTCTTGTTCGCTTCTATTCTTTCCTGGTGGTACCATGGAAAAGACAGATGTGTGACCAAAAAAAAAAAAAAATTCAACAAGTGACAATACTCACTTCTATTTAGGCTAAAAAGTGCTAAGGAAACTCACCTAGAGATTTTAATCCTCTTAACCTACCAAATCGAAACACCTTGTGCCCTTTTAAATTCATGGCCCAACACATGCACCACCAATACCCCAATCTCTAGGGCTCTACAGAATTTCACTCAAGATCAGTGACAGCCCAGGGGTGCCTGGGTGGCTCAGTCGATTAAGCATCTGATTCTTGACCTCGGCTCAGGTCATGATCTCACAGTTCTTAAGTTTAAGCCCCACATTGGGCTCCACGCTGACAGCCTGGAGCCTGCTTGGCATTCTGTCTCTCCCTCTCTCTCTGCCCCTCCCCTGCTCTCTCTCTCTCTCTCAAAACAAATAAACTGACAACAACAACAAAAAATCAGTGACAGCCCAAAGTCTTACGAAGTACAACAGAAAAACCAGCAATAAAGTTTGTTGTCTCCTTAAATCATAAGGAGTACGTAATCATAACGTACATTTTTAAATGTACCCAGAAACAGAAAATATTAGTAGATCTGCTATGTCCAAGAGAAGGTACCTGGCAATAAAAAGGGGATTGTGTAGCACCGAAAATATCTAATTTTGGTAAAATGTTACTGATGATAATACTTGGTGTCCAAGTATATACACCTTGAAGGTCTATTAGCTGCTTCAATCATTTGAACATAACAATCCATTTACACAAAATGAGCCAATGTTTTCGCTCAAATACTTTATTTCCAAAATGCACTGTGGTATACCATTTCTACAATTTCTCCTAGACAAGCCTCTGGAAGATTAAGTTCCTTCCAGTGAAGGGCTTGACACTTTGGTCATCTTTTATCCTAAATTAGATAGGCACAAAATTGTCTGCACATTATTTTTGGAAAACACACAAAGGCTTAGTCTTTTAATTAAATCAAGTTCCTAATTTCGTAGTCATCCTTTCCATAGAATTCTACTCTCCTATGATCCCCCGTGTCTTAACCAATTCTTAAAATTCTTACCCCAAAAGTGAAAAGGTTTGTTGGAACAAAAGCAAAGCAGTAATGGATACACGAGTGAGCTCAGCTGACTTGTCAGCTCACTTCTAACAAAAATTAAACAGCTTTCTGTACTGTAGGACATTTCTGAGCCTTTGTTGCTGTATAATATTACTTTCCAAAAGTAAGGTATAGCATGTGGTGATTCCCAAACTTATTTCATGGGGCAGTTATTATTTATTTCATGTATTATCAATCAGTCGTTAGCAGGAAAGGGTATTTTGAGGAACATTTTTGAGAACCGCAAGTTAGACTACAGTGCTAATAAAAACCTCAAAAATAGGTTTAACTCCAAAGGAGTCCAATTAGCATTATTTTTTCAAAACATTGACTGCATCTTGAAAACTATAGGCAGACATCTTCAAATGTATGCCTTTAGAAGTAAGAACACATAGATGAACTAGCACATTATTACCACCTTTCCAGTGAAAACTCATTCAAAACTCAGGCAACTGCTATTTTGCATAAAGAACAAAATTATGACTGATCCTAGGCCTATAGAATGCACTGCTCTCTGCATATTTCAAGTTCAAATTTGGTAGATGTAAATTTTTACAGTGTGGATATGTTAGCCATCATAACTGAAAAGGAGACTTACCAACAGAAGCTGAGTTTTTAAGGACCGACTCCTTTGAGACTCCCTTTTCAATGCGTATTGTGGCCCACTGTTCAAAAATAAGTAGTGTTGTTAATTTAAACTGTTCCATAGACACAATGTAAAATACTCAAACCATGCTTATACAGAAGTGAAATTAAACATTATGCCCAGGACTATCTGAATTAAAGAGATACCTCAGTAAATCTCAGAAGTAGCAATATTCCAAGTCTCAAGTATACTCTTTTATATTAGTTACTGATCATGCCCTATTTACCCTATATAAACCCTATTTAAACCCCTCACACACACCTGGTACCCCAATAAACTACTCCTTGAAAAGGTCATGAAGCATGTCAGGCAAGAGCTCAGGTTATGGCATCAACACTGAGTTCAGGGGCGCCTGGGTGGCTCAGTTGGTTAAGAGTGCGACTTTGGCTCAAGTCATGATCTCACGGGTTCGAACCCCGTATCGGGCTCTGTGCTGACAGCTCAAAGCCTGGAGCTGCTTCGGATTCTGTGTCTTCCTCTCTCTCTGCCCTTCCCCTGCTCATGCTCTCTCTCTCTCTCTCTCAAAAATAAATAAACGTTAAAAAAATTTAAAAAGACTAAGTTTAAAGTTACTTAATCCCTCTAGGCCTCCATTTCCTCATCGGTAAAATGAGGATAATAGTTCCTATCCCATATGGATGCTATGAGGATTAATTGAAACATGGGGCCCAAGGGGCGCCTGGGTGGCGCAGTCGGTTAAGCGTCCGACTTCAGCCAGGTCACGATCTCACGGTCTGTGAGTTCAAGCCCCGCGTCAGGCTCTGGGCTGATGGCTCAGAGCCTGGAGCCTGTTTCCGATTCTGTGTCTCCCTCTCTCTCTGCCCCTCCCCCGTTCATGCTCTGTCTCTCTCTGTCCCAAAAATAAATAAACGTTGAAAAAAAAAATTTTTTAAAAAAATGAAAAAAAGAAAGGGAACAAATAAAATATTATTTAAATGATTACAATGGTGATTACAATTCCAGAAGCTAATATTGTCAAAGGGGACGGGGGAGTGGGAGGAGGAAGGGTGAAATTAGAGGTGAAAGGCATTGTGATCGTTATAATTAGGACTTAAGTGCCCTTGAAGGAGCAAAAAGAATTTATCAAAAACCTAGTGGCAAAAAACAGGTATTTCTAGGCTCACAAGGAATTAAACAAATTTTTAAAAATTCAAATCAATAAGAAAATGACAGAAAGAGACTACTAAATGACCTAAAACCTATACCTGAAGGTCATGAAGTAGGGCATGATCTGACTACGTCAGGACCCCTGCACAACATCCCAAAGAGCCAAGTAGGAACATGCTATTTGTGCTTAGAGAACAGCCTATAAATAGAGACTTAATCTTCTGGGCTTCAAGTGGCAAGTCACAAATGATAATCAGACTCAATCTTAATCTGATTGCAGCCTTTTCCCTTCCTTGCTGATTTGGTGTAGGAGTTCTCAAACTCTAGATATACCTCCCATGTCTTCTCAATAGAAGGAAAGGTTTATTTCCATAGTTTTTCCACTTTAAAGCTTTAGCACCTGTTATCATTTATAAGTAGCAATATGATTTTATATTTTATATAAATGATAATTACCTTAGATTAAGACAATTATTCCATGCTTATTTTATGGAAAATATTGATATTTTGAGGCTGTTATGGGCTGATTTTGTGTCTCTCCCAAAATTCATATGTTGAAGCCCTAACTCCCCGGTATCTCAGAATATGGCTGTATTGGAGATAGGACCTTTTAAAAAAGGTGACAAAGTTAAAAAATGAGGTCTTTAGGGTGGGCCGTACTCCAATATGATTGGTGTCTTCATAAGAAGAGGAAATTTGAACACACAGAGACACCAGGGATTTGCACACAGAGAGGAAAGGCCATATGAGGACACAGAACGCAGCCATCTGCAAGTCAAGGAGAGAGGGAGGCCTCAGAAGAAACCAAACCTGCCAACAACAGTTTCATTTTGAACTTCAAGCCTCCAGAACTGTGAGAAAACAAATTTCTGTTGTTTAAGCCCCCCAGTCTGTGGTACTTTGTTATGGCCGCCAGAGTGAACGAATACAGGGGCGTGCTTCATACAGCATGATGTACTACAAAGAGCTCCATGTTCTGTCACAAGTATCAGAATGCATAACCTCTCCTGAAATGGTCACGCCAAAGGTCTGTCCTACAAAATGCAGTTACAAATTTTCAGGTGGAAGGAGAAGTCATTTAATGTCAAAGGAAATTTGCACTAGAAAACCATTTTCTTCTTTGGGCTTACTCTCCAGCAAAAGTGAAAAGCGCTAACGCTTTGCAGCCAGACACATATGCATACGAATCGCAGTTGTGTGCTCCTGGCTGTATTCGGCTCTGATGAAAGGTTGTCACCTCTTGGGACCCCAATTTCATCATCCCTAAACCAGGGACAATACCAAGATAAAAGAGTAAGGAAGATAATCTTTCCAATGACCACCACCCAGTAGGCCTCAAAGTAGAAAACACTGGCTTCCTCCTCCCACTTCACGCCCCAAAATTTATTAGCTTCCAAAATGATCACTTTTTCGCAAACCACCCAGTGCATTTCCCACAAAATAGCTACTCCACTTCCACCATGCCAAATGATCAAGTAAGCCCGAAGACAGAGGTTGGAATATCTCTTCAGAGGTTCCCAACCTCTTATAGTGGTTATCTCAAAACACATCTGCCTCTTGCCCACAGGATGATGCTGAAGTATGATAGTAGTTTCTAATCCCCATGGCTACTCCCATCTCACTTCTCCCTACAAAGAAAGGTTGAAAGACACTGCCTTCAAATCAGGTTCTCACTCTACTTAGTTTTAAAACTCCTCTTGGGGAGCAAAAGGTAGCTGTCTCTAATTCACCAAAAAAAGAAAACAGGTTAAGTCTGAGTTTTAAAGCTTAGATCAAAAGCTTGCAAAAATGATACTGTCATCTAGACAATTACAACTTTTAGTTTTTACACTAAAAAGACATTTAAAGATTAACTAAAAAGAGAAAAGGAGAGGATGAAAATATATACAATTACATACAAATTCAAAGTATTAGGTTTATGCAGATAACAGCAGGCCACTGTCTGTAGCCTAATAAAACAGTTTTCTTGACAAATCTGTCATCTTGGCAGAGCAAGAACTCAGGCTCTAGATTCAAATTAAAATCCTAATTCTACTACGAACAGCTGTGTGCCACTATCTGGACAAATTAACTCTCTGAATCTCCATTCCCCAATCTATCAGTGGGAGTAATATAGACTATGTCAGAGAGTTGTGCATTTAAGCACAATGCCTGGGTAGCTTTTCTTTATTATTACTTTCTGTCATAAACAGCCATGGCCTTCTAGCACATTTATTGTATTTCCAACACCAGGAATAACACCTGAATATCATATTAACGGAGGTGTTATAAACCATCCTACATGACATTTATTGACATGTCTTTTGAAAAGATGAAAAGCTAATTGGTGGATGGAGGAAAGTATAAAGGGGAAGAAAAATAATCAAGACAAAAGGTAGGGTGACTGGCTAGCTCAGTGTATAGAGCATGCAACTCTCAATCTTCAGGTCGAGTAGGCAGAAAGCCTACTTAAAAAAATATATTTTTAATAAAATAAAATAAAAGGCAAGAATAGTCTGCTCTGAGTATGGATGCTAACTCATTAAAGATCTGAAGATGGGTTAAATCTCAAGCCACATAGGAGCAAAGACAAACAAAAAATAAAAACAAGACCATTTCCATTCAAACTCCACTGAGATTTGAGCACCTACTGTGTATCGTGCTTTCCCTGACCTCTCCTCATTTCATGCACACGATACAGTAACTCTCGGAGGCATTCTCCTATACCCCCCGGTAGAAACTAAGGGTGAGATGTTAAGTGACCTGCCCAAGGTCACAAGGCCAGAAATTTGGAGGAATCTGTTTATCCTTCCATCTTATTTCTCAAAAGCTGAGGGAAAAATTAGCCCCGTAGACATTCATTATCTGTCCATTGACTGTATTACCTGGTTAGATTAGATAATTTACATACCATTGCCCTACCTTCTTCTCCACCAATGCTATACTCTCTTCCCAGTCTTTATTTCCCTCTAATCATGAGCCTTAGGCCAACAAATAGCAATCCTCACCCCCCCTTACCCCCATTGATTTCTGTGGTTGAAAACAGCACTTAATCCATACTCTGTGGTTGAAAACAGCATTAAATCCATGCTCCTATTTAATATACATGAAAACTTCACACACGCGCCCTCCAGAATTTCTGATACACCCCCTACAATCCAGATGGACTACCCTCTACATATCCCCACCCAAAAGTTTTACTTTTCATAGTTTGAATTGCTAAAAACAATTTTCCCAATATAAAGTTGTAATAATGCCATCTATACTCCTTAGAAATGATTATATACCCCTTGAAAAATCACTGGTTCAGAGAAAGATACAGCCAAATCCGTTGAAAACAAAGTGCAATGAGTAACTGAAGGGTTGGGCTTTGCATAGAATCTACAAAAAGACATCATTTGTCCAGACCTAAAGATGTCCTAATACTAAGCAAACAGCACAAGTTTTGAGGGAATTATCCCTACGGTCAGGAAAAGCAATCCGCTATACTACCCACCGCCTAACAGAAATGTCTTTGAAACATCTAAGGCTGTTCTGGCTGAAGGATGAGAAACCCTGGGTCACCATTTCCCTCCCCTGTGCCTGAAGCAGACATCACTATGGGATCACAGCTCCTTCCTGATGAGCCCAGAGGCTCCCAACCACAGGCACTCCGAGCAACTATTGTCAGAGCTGGCCCACAAAATGAATCTCCATTCTAATTACATATATGCCAAGCATCACTCTGACCCAAAAGCTTACTCTCAGCAAAAACGGAAGTTCCTTATGCTGCCATCTACCTGGTTTCCAAGCTAAGTGGTCTATCTCCCACTAACCAAGCAGTGCATCTCTGAAAAGTCTCTTCAACTCTAGATGGACAAAAATTAAAACTTGAGGCCCTACCTAATTGATGGTCAGACTCTAAGCTGGATATATCCCTTCCAAGTATAGAAGTTATTTGCCAGGTTGACAGCAACTAGCTGGCCTCTCTCCTTGACAACTCTTCAGTCATACATTGAATTATCAAAGCAAGACCAACAGGAGTCAGCCGCTGAAAACCAGTGTGTGCAATTTACCTTCACTCCAATGTCACTTGGGGTATAAACTCCAAAAGACACTGCTGTATGGGAGAACAATTCAACCATTTCAGAGTTCTGAGAAAGAGTTCTGAACACCAGCCAAAGAGGATCATCTGCTATGGGGAAAGTATTTGAAGAAGATCTAGCAGTAAGAGGCAGCCTGAGAAGTTCACAGCACAGTGTGACCAAGTTCGGAGCGTGAAGTCAATACAAAAGGTTCAAAACTGCAATATCTCCCAAGCAAAAACAAAACACCTTTGAACCCATGAGGGCTGAGGATAAAGAATCAAATATGACTAGACAGAAAAATAACCAAGAGAAAGAAAGTGCAACAAAAATCTGGGGCAAAACAGGAGATTAGCAGGTAGAAGAGAGTCTCAGGAGTTTAGTAGGTGAGAGATTAGCAGGTAATCTCCAGGTGGGAGATTAGCAGTTTACAGATGTGTATCTGGGAGCCACCCCACTCACTGAGGGAGAAGAGCAAATAAAGCCAAGTTCTGGGGGTAGACGGAAAAGAAGGGCAGAAAAATGAGAACCCATATTAGAAGGTACCAGCGAAGTTAGAGAAACCAGGATGCTAGAGTCTAAATAATAATAATATTCTTTTAATAGCAGCAAACGTTGATATAGCACCTAACACCCCACAGGCACCTTTCTAAAATGCTTGACGTGTTAGGTCAGTTAAACAACCCTATGCAAATAGGTGTTAAATTGTTATTCCTATTTTACAGATGAGGAAAAGGAAGCACAAGAAGTAGGTGACTTCCCTGAGGTCACATATTGAGAAGCAGAACTGGGATTTTGGAACCAAATCTAAGCAAACCTGTATCTAGAGTCCGTCCTCCTAAATCACTAGACCACAGGTCCTCTCCTCAGTTAAGACTCCTGTCTCCACTTAACTCAAGCAAACCGCTGAACTTAGCTCTAAGTCTCAGTTTCCTTGCCTGTAAAAGGGGGATAACATTGGCCCTCCCTACCTTCCAAGGCTTTGGGGAGCGTCTGATGAAAGAGCAAATGGGAAAGCCCTGTGTAATTTAATTAAGCTTTGTGTAAGGGTGAGCTGCTGTTCCCTACCAGGCTCACGTCCATCTAACTTACCAGCTTTCTTAGCAGAATTTGGAAACAGGAGTGTAGAGAGAACAGAGATCAAAGAATATAAACTTACGATGACATTTCAAGTGCTTTTGGTTAGATAAAATTTCCATGACTCCATTAAAACATAATCAGATTTCTCACTACCGCCCCGCAATTGCTTTCTTATCTTGAACATAACTTAGAACAGGATGCCTTTCTGGACAGCATGCCTTAGTACACGAAAAGGACCTCTGAAACCTGGGGCTGTAAAAACTAAGGAAGGTGAAGGGACAAGGGCACTACATCATGGATATAAAAGAATCGATGATATAAAAGACGGCTGCACTGTTATTCTAATCAGTAATAATAATAATAATAATAATAACAACAACAACAACAATAATAGCAGCGGGTGAGGATGGCTCTGCATTCAACTAGGGGAACAATACGGTGGTCTCATGGTCTCAGCCCGGATCCCTTCACTCTGAAGGAGTAGCCAGGATGCTGTCTGGGCGCTACTGAGGGGGATAAACTGAAACGCACAGCCCTCGGGACCGCTGACCTTCGGAACTGGTCCCCTCGCATCAACTTGGCTCTCAACAGCTCTACTAGCGGCCACCACTGCCCCAAGTTCTCACTCCCTAAAGCCCTCAAACGGTGCTGGGGCGCCGCCTCCCCCCCCCCCCCCCCCCGGCACTCACCTCTAAAGTTTTCACCAAGAGCTTCATGTACATCTCAGAGATGCCCAAAGACACCCCGAAGGCCGAAGGCAGGAGGATGAGGCAGATCACCAGCGTCAGCCAGGTGGAAAGGATCTTCCCGGCCAGCTCTGCGCCCTCCATGGCTCGGCGCACCCTCTCCGAAGGAGTCCACGGGAGACAGCTGTCCCTGTCCCCAGGCAGTGGGGCAGCAGCTCCGGGAGCGGAGGCGCGGAGCCGGGCTCCGGAGAGTCAGAGCCGCCGCCTCCTGGCACTCACCTCTGCGGGGAAAGAAAAAAAAAAGGAAGGAAAAAACTTTCAGAACGACGGCAATTTCCTTCCTTCCCTTTCGGGCTCCTCCCGGCCCGGCCGGTTAACTCTTTCTCCGCTGGAGGCCCAGGCCAGCGCCGAAGCCACACCAGCGGGCACAGACCTGGTCGTGCCGGCCAGAGGACGGGAGCTGGGGGGTGAGCGAAGTGACACGGCGGCGCGGGCAGGACAGAGCAGTCGGGAACGCGCCCCACCCTTGTGCCTAATTTCCTCTGGGTGGCGATTACGACGACTCAACGGCTGACTCACAGAGGCCCTCCCGGAGGCCCTCCCCGAGCGCGGATCCCTGCGGGCGCACCGCACCACTGCACACCGGCCACTTCCACAGCCGTGCGGAACGGGTCCCAGGCCGAGCACCGTGCCGGGGGCAGGCTGCGCTTCCGCGCCCTGCGCCCTATTTCTGCGCCCTGCCCGCGCCCCACCTCCCCCGCCACCCAACGGGGAGCTTCCAGGCGGGAATCTGCACCGCCAGCGCCGCAGCCTCCCGGGAGGCCTCCCTTCTTCCCCGCGCCCCGCCTTCCCCAGCACGCCTAGCCAAGGTCCTTTAGGGAGCAGAGTTTTCTGCAAAATGTTCGCATTTCTTCACCTCCAGAATGAACCACTGACGCACCCGGGACTCTTGAGAAGGTCACGTTTGTGTGGTTGTAAAACAACCTCTTTAGAAGAGCTTTCAAGAAGAGGGAAAGGCACAGAGCGCCGCTGAGCCGCGGTTTGCGCCGCTTTTGCAGGTCTCCCACGCCTCCCTGCCCTCTCGCCTGAGCGGCTGTGCGGCTCTCCCCTGCTCCCCGGGAGAGGGGAAAGCTCTCTCCACGAGTCTCCTACTCCACTCAGCCGCCATCTCCCTGGCACAGGAATCCTTGGGCTGGGGGTCCCTCTCTTCCTGGGGGAAGATTCCAACCAGTTTGCCCAACCAACCGTTCACCCAACACCCTGAGCGCCCAGAAGCTGCAGAAAAATGCCAGGCCGGCTCAAATCTTCACCACGCTGACGCGCGCCTCCTGGGCGTTCAGTTCCCCTCCGCACAGCCGCCTTGCTAGCCCTTACTGGAACAATGAAGGGCAAAACCCTATGTGGCTGTTTGCTTCACTGCAGCTCATGTCTCTTGGGGACCTACTCTGTTTTTAAGAACGAACCTGAGACGGGATGCCCAGACTGTAGGAGACAGAAAATCAGGCTGCCCAGGGCTTCCAGATCATTACCGAATGAGACCAAACTCTCCTACAGACGGGTCTCTTCCAGGTGTTATTTCAAGCTGGAAAAACTGGGAGGGCAAGCGAACTGAATTGAAGCAGTATTGATAGCAAATACTGTAAAGAGAGCTGCCCCTGCCTAGGGTGTGGAGGAAGTGGGGTGTAGAAAGATGCAGAGAAGCCCCAAACCAAAGAATGTAAATGTTTGCCCTCTGCACCTTCTGCCAGGTGTGTATCACAACCTCCTCCCCAGCTAAGAAAGAAAAAAAAAAATTATGATTTGGTCATGAGAACCAAGTTATGAATGAAGTTTTAGGGGCTTGGCTTCTCTGTATGTTCTGCCAGTTTTCAAAAACAAGGAAGACACAATTGCCAAAATCTGTCCAGAGTCCTTGCTGAAAATAAACATATATTTAGCATAAAACCTCAAAGATTCTGGGGTGGGTGCCTGGGTGGCTCAGTCGATTGAGCATCAGACTTGGGCTCAGGTCATGATCTCATGGTTAGTGAGTTCAAGCCCCACTGGGGGGGGGTGGGCTCTGTGCTGACAGCTCAGAACCTGGAGCCTGCCTCCCATTCTGTGTGTATGTCTCTCTCTCTCTCTGCCTCTACCCCACTCATACTTTGTGTGTGTGTGTGTGTGTGTGTGTGTGTGTGTGTGTGTGTGTGTCAAAAATATATTCTATTAACTCATTTACAAAGATTCTTTCTTTTAACACTCAGGCAAAATCGCCTTTTCATATATTTCTCAAAGGGAAGGTGACTAAGGAATGCTGAATGTTTATACCAAAGTTTACCCAACAAAGTCCCAGTGCAGGCAACTCAGTGTAGGGCTGGCTTTTTCTACCCAGCCACACACAGACGCTGATTGCCTTCAATCCCTAATAATTTCTGCTGCTCATGACCGAATTCCATGAACTGGTTTGGGTTTTTTGTTTTTTGGTTGTTTTTTTTTTTTTTTCACTATTGTGGAGAATTGCACTGTCCCCCCAAAAGCGGCATGATGGAATAGTAATATATAGGATTTGTAGTTTTAGGTTGAGTGCCCTTCTGTGTTTCCATTCTCATCAGTAAAATGGATCTCTTTTTTGAGAGTTCAAACAGGATTATGAGCCTAAAACTACTTTTTTAACAACAAAGCTCTGTGCAGAGATCTGGGTAGCAGTTAGTTTAAGTCCAAGCTCTCATTGTTTCTTGCCTAAAACACACAAGAGCCAAGATAGGCTCGCCTTTGCAAGTGATGAGGAGAAGGAGAGAAGGGAAGAATGGGTGAATGGTTTTGCGTTCCTTTCTCCTTCCTTGCACTCACCTCACCTCTCCCCTCTCCTGCAGCCCTTGAGTCACTTTCAATCAAACCTAAGTAGGACCCTCCTCGCATTCCTGGCCTACATTTAGGACTCCTTCACTTACTCCATTCGTTTCCTGAGCCTGCCTTAACAAATGATCACAGACTTAGTGACTTAAAACAATAAAAATTTATTTTCTCAGTCTTGGAGGCCGGAAGTCTGAAGCGAAGGTGTCTGAAGGGCCAAGCTCCTTGGCTCTAGGGGATGATCTTTCCTCATTTCCTCTAGCTTCTGGTGGCTCCCAGCGTTTGCTGGTTTGTGGCAGCACGACTACACTCATAGCCTCTGTCTACACACAGCCTTCTTCCTAAATCTCTTCTTGCCTTCTCCTCTGTGATAAAGACACTTGTCATCCTGGATTTAGGACCCCACCCTAATCCAGGGTGATCTCATCTCGAGATACTTCATGTAATTCTACTCAATCGGCAAAGACCTTCTTTCTAAATAAGGTCACATTCACAGGTTAGGACTTGGGTATGTCTTTGGGGAGGCTACACTTCAATTCATGACACTTATCATCTCTGTAAACTGGGGATAATGACACCCATTTGGAGAGGGTGGTATTGGGATTTGAGATTGTATTTTTAAAATTTAGCTGATAGTAAAATGCTCAATAATGAGGTTTTTCAGGACAATCCTATTTTTCACCTTTTGTCCTGGCACATATTTTAATAATGCTTCCTCTTACTCTCAAAAATATCCTGGCTTGAATGGTAAATCACATGGTTTCCTTTACATAATTTCTAAGAGCCTTCCCAGTTCTAAAATATTAGATTCTTTGACAAAAATCACTGTCGTGTCCATGCTTGACCCCTTGTCAACAATGGAGGCCAAATGAAATTGTGCTGGTGGATGAAGAAAAGGGATTACCATCTCATTCAGATTTTCTCACCTGTTAATGTGGGTAGAAATTCCTGGGGCTCTTGTTAAAATGCAGGTTCTTAGTCAGTAGGGTTGAGATGGGGCGTGAGATGCTGCATTTCAGTGTGTTCCTAGGTGATGCTAATGTTGTTGGCCTCGGACCACACTTGAGTGGCAAGCCCTTAGAGTATGGGCAAAGGATGAGTTTCACATTTGACAGATAATAAAAGATTGCAAAGGTTCAGGTAGGTCTTTGGGATCCAACACAAAAAAGAATTGATTCTGGGGGCACCTGTGTGGCTCAGTTAGTTGAGCATCCAACTCTTGACTTCAGCTCTGGTCATAATCCTAGGGTCAGCTCTCTCTCTCTCTCTCTCTCTCTCTCTCTCTCTCTCTCTCTGTCTCAAATAAAATTTAAAAATACATATACATTAAAGAAAAAAAAGAATTGATTCTGAAGAGCTGGCCCTTATCTAAGAACTCCTTTTGTGATTTTGCATCTTCTTTATACCCTTGCTTTGACAGCAAATGGATAATGTGAACAGAGGAGTTTATGCTAAAAAACTTTGACCAATTGTCAATACTCTCATGAATAGATGCCTACAGCAAATAAGATGCCATAGTTGAAGCCAAATGATGAATATTGATTTAATATAAGAGGTAGGGTAGAACAGAGAAATCTGGGGATGAAGCAGATTGCTGAAGCATTTTATTAAACAAACAAGTTTCGTGTTTCTCATCTCCAGTCTTAGTATGAGACTTCTCTTTTCTCAGATTTCACACCTTTCTTGGGCCTTCATCATCTCCTGCCTTGATTCATGTATTTGCTTTATTGTCCCACTGTAAACTGTTTCCTGTCAGGGGTTTTTTCCTTCTTCTGTATTACTCCCTGCCCTCTGTTATCCACTCCTCCACCTGCACAGAATTTGACTTCATGCCACACTGTTAGTCAATGCCAGCAGTGTGACCCTAATGGTCACAAAGTTCAAATATCTTTGGCTAGTTCTTGAAGCACTCTAACTCTAACTCCCATTATGTTCTAACAAAACTTTCTCATCTTCCTCTGGTTTCTGCAGAGTTGCTTCTTCTCTGGGTCTTTGATCACATCACAGTTCCCCCTCCCTGTGCCCCCCACCAATATCCCTGTCCAACTCCCACCCCACACCCCTCTTCTGATCTCTCATCCAAATCCCTCACTTCATAGGTTAGGGATCCAACATGGGGATCCCACCAGTTGCTGAGTATTCTATTGCAATTATGCATTTCAAAACTGGGGAAATAGCCACAGGATGGATTTGAGGACTTATTGGGCTCACTGTTTGATGGACCTGCCCTAAAACTCCATCATTCACCTGACCACCATAAACTCCTACTTTCACTGATAAACCAAAGTGATGTTCTAGGTCTCCAGGAGTTAGTGTCAATTCAGAAACAGCCTCCAGTA